TCGCCGAGAGCAAGCCTCTGCCGAACAGCCCCCATCCTGCGCGCGAGGTCGCCCGACGCCTCGGCACGGCGCATCATCTTGCATGCTTTCCATGCGCCCGTGCCGAAAGGGTTCCGAATCCCGCGCCCCGCCGAGATAGTCGCACCTGTACCGCATTCAGCAGGGCGCGCCAACTACTCTGGGCCCAAGTCCCTGCGCTCGCTGCGCAGCACGCCAAACCCGACCTGACCTCTCAGAGCGATCTGCTCGCTGAAGCACACGCGGCAAGGGCCGCTTTTCTTATGAGCGAGATCATAGTTTCCAGGTTCCTCTTTGGGATGCAAGCGCGAGTCGGCATCGGCGTCGGGCTGAGCATGGAGATGCGAGCGAAAAAACCGCCCGCGATCTTGCACCGCCGCCGTGCGTTACGGAGAACGCGCCGGTTGCTGGCGGACTCCACGTTGGCGGGGCACGCCTGCGCAGCGCCGCGAACGATGCGTTTCCGAACCCGGGCGAGCATATTCTCGCGCCTGGAATTGTCAGTCTCGGCCGCGGCCCCGCGGCGCAACGCGTCCACCAGTGCTACTTCGCCCTCGAGGTCGTCGCCGCGCGCCTCGGGCAACCCCGTCGCCTAGGAACCCAGCGCGCGCCTCGACGCGGCCATCGACCATTTCCCCCTGTAGGAGCGACCCTTTTTTTCAAGGATGCGTTCGAAAGCAAACCAAAAAGTGCGCGTTGGGTGGGTTAATACCATCGAACATATATCCCCCACCAAAACTGCACCGCTCGCCCCGCGCGCGATGGATCCAGGTGGGAGCGCCGACCATTGATGCACGCCCGTGCTCGACAACAAGTGGCTCACGCCCTTCAGAAACGCATCCTCGAGCTCGCCGTTCACCATCGGCTGGAGGTGCGGCGATGCGAGGACATCAGCGGCGCTGGGACTGGAAGGGGCCTTGCAAGCCCTGGCGCGCTGCGTCTCCTGGGCATCCGCACTCGTCTTGTCCGGGATGCGACGCATATACTTTTGCTGGGGGTAGATCAACGCAGAAAGGAGAAACGGCTTCTGCGGAACTGACGTGCCCCCGCATGTTCTCGAACCCTCTTTCATGCGATGTGCGATAGCCTTGCGATCGGACGCGGAGGCGTCAGCGCCTGCCTTCTCGACGGGCACGGACGGCAAGCCAACGCAACCGCCAGCTTGCTCGCCCCCCCCTGCCCGGGGCCCCCCATCGACGCCCCGCGGCCGGTTTAAGACGGGGGAGGGGGGGGGGGGCAAGTGCGTTCCGAGAAATATACATGCTAACCCCGCTGCGGGCGCCCCCCTCAGCCGCTGCCCACCCCAAAACAAACTCATTTGGCGGTTGCGTTTGCTCCCGCTGCGGCCCATCCGAAACCGCCGTGGATTCACCCGCCGAGCCATCTGCGGCATCCGCCACGCGCCCAAAAACATCCAGGACAGCGCGGCGGTCGCCGGCACGAGGAATGGCTTCGGGCGCAACGCGTCCGTGAGCGTAACCTGCGATGGCTTCCTGCCATAGCCCATGCACGTGCACCGAGAAGCCCACCACTCCGATTGCTTCCCAGGCCTTCGCCCGCCGAGACCGTGGAAAGGCAAAGACGGCAAGCTGCATGATTGCGTTGACGACGTGCTTGGTTGCCCAGAAGCGAAGCTCGGCCTCGCAAGAATTCACGTCCGACGCGCGCACCTCGAACACATCTGGTCCCCTCTAATCCTCATTTGCACCTTTGAGAGCAACGGCGCGCCCCTTCTGCTGAGCATCGTTGTTGGTAGATACAGGCAGGAACACGTCTGCCACAGCTGTTCGATGAATGCGCGCGTCAAGAAATGCCGCACCGCATTTCAAACGGGAACGTTCCGAGATGTTCCGACGCAGTATTAATATAGGACAACTCTTGCTCCCCGGAACCTGAAACACCTTTGCCACATGGTTTTGTGAAACGAGAACGTCGTCGAAAATTGTCCCGACACTTTTCTCCTGGGCGCCCAGGACCATGTGCAGCCTGCGTGACCAGTGGAGCCCTACGGCACAGGGCCGAGTGACCGCTCCGCTCGTGCAACGGCGGCGTCGTCGTCGGACACGTACGCGCGGTCGCACATGCTGAACGAGAGTTTCAAGTTATCGAGGCCGTAGGCGTGGAGATTGGCAAGACACGCGTGGACCTCGCCAGTGGTCCTGTCTACGCCACTCAATGTCGTTGGCACCGCAGCTTGGACATGAAGAGAGCAACGCGCACCTTGCCCATTAGCAGGGCAGGCAGACATCGGCATGTAAAAGACAGCGCCAAGTTTCTGGTCATATGCCGCGACCTTTTCCGTGTGGCTCAACGTCGCTCTCAATAATGGTATCCATGACGTGTTTGCGGAAGTTCTCTTTATTATTAATGGCCGCTCTGATGGCGGGATCGCCGATTGCCGTCTCATGCGTCACTCGGTGGTACACCGGCGTCTCGTCCATGGACGCGTGAACCGACAAACGCACGCACTGGCCTCCAGAGGCATCCGTAGCTGAGGTTATGGTCTTGGTGGCATGAATAACACGCTGCCGAACAATGTGATACACGCCCGCCGCGTGAAACATAACGCGAATCGGCACGACATCAGGGTGCATTGACAGGTCATCTGCAAGATAGATCAACGCACTCGAAGCATTGACATTCTCATGCTTGTCAATGAGACAACAGAGCTCGTCAACTATGGAACCAGCAACTGTGTCCAAACCAAGTATGCATAATCTTCTCAAGGCAATATCCAAACCCGACGTTCTGATCCATGAGACTCTACAACGCCTCTTGCAGCACAGTGTCCAGGTCAGCAGGGGACGGCGCGCTCACGGCCAGGTCGAGCTGCGCTGGACGGGCCAACGAAGCGCCACCATCACCAGCGACGGGCACCACCGCCACTGCTTGATCAAGATCGGCTCCGTGAGGCTCGACATCCGCCCCGCGAGCCTCCATGTCCCCCAGCGCAGCAGACAGCGCAGCGTCTAAGCTGCCAGCGGCCGCTCCAGATACACAATTGGCAATATCAGCATCCAAGCTGAATGCACCGACCCCGTCAGATCGAATATCACCTATGACCTCGTCAAGCGATTGCATTCCACCAAATGCGTCCTGACGAGCGAGGGGAAGGCCTAGCTAAAGTTTTGAGCCAGAGCGACGATGGATGGGGAGGAGGAGGAGGACCAACGTAAACAGATAGCGCATCCGACCATAATAACCGTATGGTTCATGTGGCAAATGAAACCATATGTCAAGACTCAGGGCAATACGATTCAATTGAGACGTCCACGTGCATGGCAAAGGTGCTGTTGGTTCCCCAAGATGGTTCCCCCAAGATGGCTCCCCCTAGACGGTTCCGCCCAAGACGGCTCCACCTAGACGGTTCCCCCAAGATGGCTCCCTAAGTTATTTGAGACGTCCACGTGCATGCAATATCCCTAGATGGCTCCCCCCAGACGGCTCCCCCTAGACGGCCCCCCCTAGACGGCTCCACCTAGACGGCTCCCCCTAGACGGCTCCCCCTAGATTGCACCATTTAGGTTGCACCACCAAGATTGCAGAACATAGATTGCACCACATAGTGGTGCAAACATGCTTCCGCCAAATCTTCAGTCACAGACTCTCGCAGCCCCAACCACAGTTAGATATAATCGGAAAGCAACTCCGCCATTCCCCACCGGTGACCTTCCAAAGCTGACGAATAGCGCCTGAAGGACAGATGAGGGCCACTGGTCTTATGGGCACTAAGGGGCCTGTGGGGAGCAAGGGCCCTACGAGAACCAAGAGGCAGTTGTGGGCCTCTGAGAACCCCAAACCATTGAGTCTGGTAATGATGGGCGGGGGGGGGGTCCAAGGAATCGCTTCCCAAACAATGCGGTCCAAATTACAATGGGTTTCGCGCCACGACGTCCCCGAATAAACATCACAGAACCAAGGAATGAGGGGGACATAAACACCATTGCACTGCTCCCGAAGCTCACATGCTGCTGCACATCGGCAAACCCCAATCCGAATACAATGGCCCAACACTGGAGCTTTCTGAGCCGAGAAAGGCCCCCTATGTTACAACCCCAAGAAACCAGAACCAACTGGAGGCTCCTATTCCAGATCGGTTCAAACCTATTTGACATAACCCACCGGAAACCTAATTTTGAGCTGTTCAACTTGTTTGTTGCTGCTTTCTTGAAAACCACTACTCTCTGGCACCCCGCGACCACAAGGGAGGAGCAGGGGGAGGGGGAGAAGGAAAGCTGATGCCCCGCAACACCGCGGCACCGACTCGGTGCCGACGCCCTCACCCACTGCACCTGGGGAAACAAAAGAAAACCGATACCGCTACTCCCCAGACCTCTCCGGGGGTGCGTCCTGACCAGAATGTCGAAGAGAATCCTGTCGTGGCGACGAGGACCTGCAAGGATGCCCACAAAGGTGAAAACAAGGAAGGGTTAAAATATAGGTACCTTGCCAAACCCCCGACGTCGTGATTTGTTCACAACGCGGATCTCCAGAGACCTGGACCCCTTCCTGAGGACCCGCTTTTCATCCCGACTCGATTTTGACGGTCCCAGGGCCCGACGAGGGCCCCCAGAGCCTGAGAATTGCCAAAAACCTTCCGTCGCGATCGTTTCACGACGCGAAGGGGTCTGAGTGTTCCAACTCTCAGCACCGCTACCAGATCTTTCTGCATTATCCGAGCCGCATCGATCCGCGATGGCACCATGGCCCGAGACAGGGTAAAACCACCCGTTGTAGAACAAATACTGCGACGCGGGAGATATCAGGCCGCCCTTCGTTTTCAAGCCATAACTCGGCTCACCCGGGGCCGTTCGGGACGATTCTGGCACCCCCGGAACACCCTCGACGAGGCGCAGCTGATGTAAACCGCCCTGGGCCTCGGGGTGAAAACATTATGCTGTGAAAATCGCCCATTGTGAAACACTGGCCCGTTGTGAACGAAATCCGACGCCAGGATCTCGGGGCTTCCCTCCCCTGGCCACCGCGTGCTGGCGAACCTCGGGCGCCCTCGTGCACTGCGCCAGCTCCAGCGGCCGCCCGGTCAGCGGGCACCGCCCCTCCGCCTCTGCCAGGGCGCGCTCCAGGACCGGCCGCTCGAAGACGTGGCCATACGGCGTCCTCGAGGCCCGAAGCTCTCCAGGGCCGAGGCTCAAAAGACCGGCCCATACTGCGGGCGGATTGGTTCTTCAATCCTGACGTGTTTCCTTGATTTCGGCCTCCTGGGGCCGCGTTCGGGCCCCAGGAACATCAAAAATGGACCTGGGACGAAAACGGACGGCCCTTGGGGAAGTGGTCGAGACGTCTGGGAACCGCGGAATGAAAATATCAGTCCATCGGACGTCTGGGGAGGTTCGAAGTTCGAGGCTTTCTGGCGCTTTCGTTGATCCTCAGCGGCTCTCCAACCTCGGGACGTCGTCCAGCAGCTGCGCCTCGCCAAAGGCATTCGGGTGGCGCCCAAATCGTACCGAACGGCCGCCGGAGAGCCGAGCTATGGCCCAAAAACCACATGAACCCTGACGCCCTCTCGTCGTGGAAACAAAAATCACGACGGAGGATTTCGCCTGATTTCGGCATCCTGCAGGGGGCCCTCGCCAGGCCCTGGGACCGTCAGAGAACGGCTCGGGACGGAAAGCCGGTCCCAGGGGAAGGGTCCTGACCTCTGCGAAGCCACGCTACGCAAAAAACACGGCGGAGGATGTCTGGGAAGATAGGGTCCCTGTTATTGGTGGGACGTCTCCGCCTCACCCTCACCTTCTCCTCCTTCCTCCCCGCCTCCACCCGAGCTCCTCTCTCTCTCTCTCTCTCTCTCTCTCTCCCCCACTCACACTCAGACTCGTACTCAGCCTCACTCATACCTAGACCTCTGGATCGAGGATCGGGGTCGGACAATTCTGGGAGTCTACTTGCCAAAGTTCTGCCCACGTTTGGAACTCTGGAGGCCTCTGGGCGCATCCCAGGTGCCACACGGGCGCCTCGAGAAAAGATCGCGCAGGAGAGCCTCGACGCACGCAGGCCGTCTCCAGGGCCCCCGGAAGCCGTTAAAGGGCGACCCGGGATACAAACGCAACTCGGGCCTTGAAAGCGACGTCCGCAGGCGACTCGGGCCGTCCAAGGGCGACTCTGCGTAGATCGGCGCAGGGCTTGCTAAGGGGGCAGGGAGGGACACCGGTGGATGCCAAAGTGGGCTACATCTGGCTCAACCTGGTATATTAGTTGCCATAAGCGGCCTAGGACTTAGGGGTTAACAATCCGAGCTTAGTGGGCTCCGCCAACTTCGCGGAGTTGTCTGACACCCATAAACCGCTCATGGCACTGCTAGCCCACTTGTGAGCTAGGCTAGGCCAGATATAACACATCTGAGCATCCACATATGGCCCCCCAGCCCCTTAGCAATCCCCGCACCAATCCAAGTGGGCCCCGACAGCAGTCAACGGCCGTCCCGCCAGAAATCAGACATCATGACTTTTTCACAGCGTAGCTCCCCAAAGGTCTGGACCCCTTCCCCAGGATTGGCGTTTTATCCCGAGCCGTTCTTTGACAGTCCCTGGGCCCTGTAAGGGCTCCCAGAGGCCACAAAATAAGCAAAAATTACTCCGCCGTGATGTCTTCACAACGAGAGGATGTCAGGGTCAGGACCGTCTCCGGGCCGCGACTCAAAGGGCCGACTCCAGGTCCCAGGGGCCGTCAACAACCCCAGGCAAAGTGCGCCAGAAGCTCCAAAGGGAGGGCCCGCAGTGCGCGAAACAGAAGCCGCGTTTCGCCGCAGGCCGGGACACGGGCGTCCTCACTGGGTCCAGCAGCAGCCTGCCGTCCAGGGCGCACGCCACCTCTCTGGGCACACGCAGGGAACCCTGAGCAAGAACGGCCTTTGGCGCGCGGCTTCCCAAGGCGCGCCGGGAGGCCAAGCCAAAGCACGCAAGCCGCTGCTATCGCACCGCATTCAGCGATCGTGGAACACCAGTGGGCCAGCACCAAAGGCCCCTCTTGCGAAGAGTCATTCTGACGCGTCCGCCAGCCAAACCCAAGCGCGAAAGCCGATGCTTCGCAGAAAGGCGGTTTGATACAATGGGCTTGTACGGCCTAGGCAGGCTCTGCTGGGGAGACGATCAGGAGTGGATCCTTATAACCGCATGGACTCCTGGTGTCTCTAAAAGCCTTTCTTCGAATGCTATCGCATCGCGCTCAGCGATCGGGGGACCCCAGTGGGCCCGCACCTGAGGCCACCCCGGCAAAAGGACACTTCTACCCAGATATCCGACGTCGTGAAGTTCACAAAGTAGCTCCCCAGAGGTCTGGACCCCGCTCCCTGGAACCAGCCTTTCACCCTGACCCGTTTCTCCGCAGTCCAGGTGCCCAGAGCCCGAAAACTATCAATAACCCTCCGTCCCCTGGACCCATCTGTCTACTAAATCCCACCAGCCCTCTGGGCGTGAGTGGTTTGGGGCGTTTCCTCTTCCATCTTCCCCTTCGGGCAGGGGTTTACCCCCCCCCCACACACCCTTCCCTGAACCTGGACGCGGGGGGGCGCGAGGTGTCAGAGCGTCACAGAAGGCCTCGGCGAGAAGGCACCAATAATGTACGTAGGTTCCTTTGGTTTGTGGCCAATTTGGGCCTCCTGGGGGGGGGGGAGAGGGGGGGGGGGGCGACGCTCATTTTGGACCCCCCTCCTTTGACCGAAATCCTCCGAGATGGCCCCCATGGCCCCCAAGGTTCCCAAGAGTGCCCCAAGAGGGCTCCAAGAGGCGCCCAGGAGGCCCTAAGAGGCCCCAAGAGGCCCCCAAGGTCCCCAAGAGGCTCCCAAGAGACCCCCAAGAGGCGCCAAGCGGCTCCCCCGAGGCTCGCAAGACGCTCTCAAAGGCCCCCAGGGCTGCCAAGAGGTCCCCCCAAGACGCCCCAAGAGGATCCCCCCAAGAAGCTCTCAAGAGACCTCCGAAGAAACCCCGAGATGCATCCACGAAGCCTCTGGCATGTCTGCTTGCCGTCCTCCTCCTCCTCCTCCTCCTCCTCCTCCTCCTCATAATGATGATGATCATCATCATCACCACCACCACCCTCCTCATCCTCATCCTCATCCTCATCCTCATCCTCATCCTCATCCTCATCCTCATCCTCATCCTCATCCTCATCCTCATCATCATCATCATCATCATCATCATCATCATCATCATCGTCATGACCACCCTCCTCCTCCTCCTCCTCCTCCTCATACTCCCCCTCCTCCTCCTCTTCCTCATCATCATCACCACCATCAGCATCACCACAACCACCACCACAATCATCCTCCTCATCATCATCGTAATCATCAGCATCATCATCAACATCATCATCATCGTCGTCAGCATCCTCACCAGCATCATCATCACCAGCGGCAGCAGCAGCATAATCATCCTCATGTTCAGAATCATCAACGTCCTCCTCCTTCTCATCATCATCATCTTCATCATCATCAGCAGAATCGCCATCACCGTCACCATCAACAGCATCATCATAACCATCAGCACCACCAGCACCACCAGCATCGTCATCATCATCAGCATACTCATCATCATCATCATCAGCATCATCGTCACAACAGCCACAAACATCATCATCACCATCATCAACAACACCACCATCCTCTTCCTCCTCCTCCCCCTCTTCTTTTTACTCCTCCTCCTCCTCCTCCTCCTCATCACCCTCATTATCCTTATCATCCTCCTGATAAATATCCTCCTCCTCCTCCTCCTCCTCCTCCTCATCATCATCATCATCAACAGCATCGCCATCATCGTCATCATCATCATGAGCATCATCATTATCATCACCATTATCATCGTCGTTATCATTACCAATACAAATATCAACATCAGTATCAATATCCTCATCGTCATCATCATCATAATCATCATCATCAGCATCATCATCATCATCATCATCATCTTCATCTTCATCCTCATCTTCATCATCACCACCACGATCAGCATCACCACAACCACTACCACAATCATCATCAGCATCAGCATCATCCTCAGTTTCATCCTCGTCGTCCTCCTCCTCCTCCTCATCATCATCCTCATCCTCATCATCCTCATCATCCTAATCATCATCATCGTCATCATCATTAGCATCGTCATCAGTATCGTCATCATCATCATCATCATCATCATCATCATCATCATCATCCTAATCCTCATTCTTATCCATATCCTCATCCTCATCCTCTTAATTTATAGTGTTAATTCGGCCCCCAATCCTGATCATTCTCCTCCTCATCAACATCATCATCATCATTACCAACATCATCACCATCATCAACATCATCCTGATCCATCTCCTCCTCCTCCTCCTCTTCCTCTTCCTTATCATCATCAGCAGCAGCAGCATCATCATCATCGTCATCATCATCACAATCACCATAATCACCATCAGCTTCTTCTTCATCATCATCATCACAATCACCATAATCACCATCAGCTTCTTCTTCATCATCATCATCAGCATCATCATCATCATGAGCAGCATCATCATCATCCTCCTCCTCCTCCTCCTCCTCCTCCTCCTCCTCCTCCTCCCCCCCCCCTCATCCCCCTCTTGGGGTATGACGTTTCTCCCAACTCCTCATTCCACTGCATGTCCCTGCGCATCCCTGATCAGGGCAGCTCGCCTGGGCATCGCTTCGGGATGGGCTCGTGGGGCTGCGCCGAGCGAAGAGAACTTTTGGACCCGGATCGATCGGTGAGGGCCCCGAGGCCCGAAACGTGGCAAACTTGCCCGATGCTGCAGCCACAGAAAACGACGCCAGGATCTCAGGGCACGCGCCAGCAGCCGACCTCTGCGGGCACCCCGCCGAGCAGGCCCCGCAGGCTCCCCGCCGAGGCGCCGGGCGCCCGCGCGGGCGGCAGCATCCGCAGCACCGCGCCGCCGGCCTCGCCCGGCCGGCCCACGGCCTCCCCAGACCATCCGCGACCAGATTTCGGCCGCGCCAGGTGTCGGTCGCGACCACGAAGGGAAGGGGCGTCGGGGACCAAGCGAAGGTACTCTATACTTCTCGGAGGCCAGGGGGCGAGGCGCTGGGTCACGGAGGGAAGGGGCGCCGGGGATCAGGCGAAGGCTTTCGAAGACGTCGACGGCTCGCTCCTTGCTGAGGTTCGCGACCGCACGCCGAACTTCGGTCGCGACCACCTCATCATCCGGAGCGTCACCCGAAGTGTTCGGTAACGGATGATCGACCTCTGCGCTGGCCTCGCTGGCCTCGCCGGCCTCGCCAGCGGAGTCGCCGGCGGGGTCGCCGGCGGGGTCGCCGGCGGCCGCGTCCCGCGCGGGGGCGTGCAGGAGCGGGATCCAGGGCGCCAGGCCTGGTGCGAGGAGGTATAGACCCATCCACACCTGACCCTGACCCACAGATCCAACGGATTGCCTTGCCGTCTCTCGGACGTCCATTTCTCGTGCATGTGCGGGTGTCGTGCACCATTGCTTTGCGCGATGATCCAGGATGCTCCTCGAAGGTCCTCGCGAGAACAAATGCACACGTCCGAGCGATACCAAGTCGAAAAACAAAACCCAACTTTTCACAGTTTTCGGCCCCTGGGGGCCCCCGTCGAGCCCCAGGACGGTCAACAGAAACGGCTCAGGGTGAAAAATCGGTCCCCCGCAGTGGGTCGAGACGTCTGGGGACAACGTGTTGAACAAAATCAAGACATCAAATCCCTGGGGAGATCCTTGCGTCGCATTGTCTACAACTGGCGATGTGTTGCATTGTTTCGGGCCTGGGGGCCCTCACGGATCGATCCGGCTCAAAAAATGCCATACAAAGATGAAGTCTAGGGCTCCGCTGGTCGTGATCTTCCGCGGTGCTTCATTTTTCGTGATGTCGCATCTCAAACGACATCCTCGTCGCGAAAAAACACGACGGAGAAGTGTTGCCCATTTTCGGAATCTGGGGGCCCTCGCCAGGCCTCCAGTCATCTGGGGAGCCACGCTGCGAAAAGACACGACATTCGGATGTCTGAGACCGCCCCTGGCCAGGCCCATCCTGGGCCTGCCAGGAGCGGCGTGTCTACATCTGCCGCCCCGGAGGAGGAGGAAGAGGAGGAGGAGGAGAAGAAACCCCCAAGAGGCCCCCAATACAGGCCCCAAGAGGCCCGCAAGAGGCCCAAAAGAGGCCAGGAGAAGCACAATCGCTCTGCGCCTGGGCCCAGGACAGGCCCGGAGCCAGGGGCGGTGGACATGCACAGATCTCTTCACCCTGAGGCCGTCGGCTCGCAGCGGGGCGCCCAGGGAGCCCAAGCGGCGGCGCACCTGGCACACCGTCTCACTGGGCGCCCCTTCCAGTGCGGCGGAGAGGGACCCTACGCCGGGCGGCACGGACGCGTTGGCCGCCAGGGCCACCATGGCCGCCAGAGAGCTCGGGCCAGCGCGGGGGATGAGCCTCTGGATGATGTACACTGCGACGTCTGCGGCCGGGGGCGCCACGAAGGCCAGCGTCGCGCAGTCCTCGAAAAAGATGCTGCTGGTGGGCCCCGCGGACGCTGGACAGCCGGCGGCGAGAGCAGGCCAGAGCTCGCCGGACGACTGACGCAGCTGTTCCGCGAGCGCCTGGCTCTCCTCCAACAGCGCTGCAGGCGCGCCGCCTGGCGCGGGCGCCCCGGCGGGCTGCCGCAGCAGCGCGGCCAGGAAGGCGGCGGCAGCCTCCGGCAGGCGCCGCAGCCACGCGACGACAAGCGGCACCATGCCTCATAGGGGGGACGATGAGGGGGGGTGGGGCAGGTCAGGGGGGAAACGTCGACCTGGAATCGGCGATAGGCCCGCAGCATCGAATCCATACGTTCTGGGGCGAGGTGGGCTATCAGGGCCCTATCGGCGAGGAATGTGCGACTGGGGGTCGACGCTTTGCCCCCTGAGCCGATCCCCTCCTGACGTTACCCCCGAATGCCGCACGCAGCCAGGGCGGTGGCGAGGGCCTCACGGTGGAGTGCCAGGGCGCGGTTCAGCTCCGCGATGGTCCACTCACGGTCTTCGTCGTCGGAGCAGGGGGGCGGGAGGGAGAAGAAGGCAACGTCCGGCAACGTCAGCTCGAACAGCGCCCTGCAGATGGCGTGCTGAATCGTTGGCAGGTCGGCCGGTAAGAGGCAATTGACCTCGGAGCTGAACTGAACTTCCGACGGCGCGTCGAGCGACAAAACCCCCATCGTGAGCGCGAAAACGGAGGGCGCATCGTGCCCGACCCACTCCCACAGGAGCTGGCCGCTGAGCTGCTGCGGGCCGACGATGCGCACGAATATGGTCGCCATCCACAGGGCGACGCCCTCCAACGTTCGCTGATCCTTGAGCATCTTCTGCACGACCGCCTGCGCGGAAGACGCGCACGCCCCCTCCAAGATGAAGGCACCACGCAGAGTAGGCTGGGCACGGGCAAACCAGGGATCCCTGAGGCCACCGGGAGTCCGCAGGATGCAAGGAACGACACAGCCAGCCCAGAGCTCCCCAGAACACACTCCAAGGAAGCTCCCCTCATCGAGCCGCCAACAAGTCAGACGAACCTGCAGCAGACAGCAATCAAGAACTGGGTGCCGGCGGTAAACCGTCAACCAGGCTACCGCCGGGGACCTCGTAGAGCTCCGTACACACATAACAGTGCTGTGAATGCGAACAGTCAACTCCCTAGAATATCAACTTGAAAACAAGGAAAAACATGTTCAGGGTCCCAACCAGTTCCACAATTATGTTCTTTATAGCCGCTAGAGACCTAATAATTTGCAAGCGAATGCAAACTACTCCACTTCCAAAGAAACTGCATCTCCGCAGCGAATTGCCGAATCTCCAATAATGTCTAGAAAACCTCTAACTTCTTAAACATATGTTTTTTTTTTGAAGTCGGCTTCTCGAAGCGAGCGAATAGAAATGTTGCAGCTACGACCCTGGGACCTTCACCAGCGAACGCAGCGCGATCGAATGCTCACTAACATGATATTAGATTTTGAAACAAAGTATCGAATCTTTGAGAACCGTCCAACCACCGCAATAATGAATTTGTCATTTGAACTTGAAGTCGGCTCCCTCACGTCTGTCGATCGTGATACTGCAGCTACGGACCCGAAAATGCACCGCCGAACGCGGCATAACCTAGTACAGGTGAGACAAATACGTTCCCTCAAAAAGAATTGCCAAATCTCTCACAATCATGTCCAAACGAAAAAAAAAACCCAGGTCATCACACTGTCCACCCTGGCCGGCTCGGTCAACAAACTCCACCCCGCGCCGGAATTCCAAGAGTTCATTGCACCGAAGAGCTCTACGAGGTACTCGCAATATACTGAAGTGACCGACTTTAAATGCACAACATCGTTTATCACACTTAGTGGGGTAGATGGTCTCTGGGCACAGAGCTAACCTACTCATGTTTCAGGAACCCTTTGGTCCAGACCTCCCGCCGAATTTCATCAACAATCCCATACTGAAGTAACAACTGTATATCAAAACGAACGCACTATTGTTATTTACGGGGCTTATGCCCACAACAACTTGCACGGCGAATTCGGTTGAAACGACTTCCGCTTGAAATGCCAACTTGGCCTCGACCAGAACAAAAACCACGGCAACCGAGCAACGCAATCTCGAATGGCGGACCGGGCGCAGTTGCAAACGCGTTACGACGACGCCACAAGACCCTACACCATCACAAAATCCGCCATCTGAAAAGACTTCGATGTGCCATCCAGCCTCGACTTTGTCAAAAAACTCCTTGGGGTCCAACTCGTCTACTCCCTCCTGGCGGTCTCACGCGATATGGCAAGCCATATCCGCTGCTTGATAAAATTCTCGAGGCCGCCAGTCGTTCGAAGGCGAGAAACTGGCCTTGTGGCGAAAAGAAGGCCAACGCAAGATATAGCACATGTTCCGTGATTTTGAAACAACAAGCCTGCAACATTCACTGCTGCAGCGTAATTCTGAATTGAACATCCCTACAACCGTCGTATTGGCGACCTCAAACTCCGGTCGGCTGGGCGTGTTCACAAGCCACAGGCCATCGCGTTTAATCTGACGCGGCAGCTCGACACTCGTAGCAATGCCGGCGGCGATCTAAGCGCGTCTCCGATTGGAACGACAGGCAGTCTGCCTCCAGGGTAATGGTCCTCCGTGATATGCAACTTGCATGCGCACACGAAATTTCTACAGCCGGCTTTCAGCGCCGTCACATCCGCGCCCGCAACAAGTTGCTCTCGCCGTCCATGTCCGCCTACATGGATAAAACAGCATCGAAACATCAATGCGCCCCTGGTCGGACGCGCACGCCACAACCTTCACGTGCCCAAGTATCCGCGCCTCGGTCTACTCGAACCATTGCAAATCTTATACTGTAGATTTGCCGTGCCATACCTGTAGATAGACGCGTTCCAAAATATGCGGCTGTAGGCTTAAAACTGAAATACCTCATCCACTTGCGAAGCCAAAGTGCTACCCTGCGGTCAAAACCCATCCACCCTCATCTGGCTTTGGCCGGAAATAAAGACACTTAGTAAGCAATCTGCGTTCCCACCTTGCCGCCCCCATGAGATTCGTTCCAATGCGCAATCGACAGAAGACACGCTCCAGCACCCCAGGGCGCTGCAGCGAAGGCTCGCAGCTTGAGTTCCACAGGCTATGTTTATGAAGTTTGCGTGCGTACCGATAGAAACAAGCGCTTCCTTTGGATAATATGTGCCGCATGTGTGCACCGCGTAAGTCAGCTGACATCAGCGCGCCACCTAGCGCCTCCATTTCCTCCACGATGCGGCAGCTCAGCGCAGCATCGCCAACTTGGACGTTCACCGTGCAGGTCGGCCACGCAATCTTCTGAAGCAAGATACAGTGGGAGTTCGGTTTACGGAACATCAAACCAGAGAGGCTGTTGATCGTGAAGGCGTACTGACTCAGACTTCAGATATGGCGTAAAAAAGTGTCAACCCAAAGTACTTTAGCCTGTCGGAAACCAATGACCAGCAGCACAAATCCTACGACCGTTTCCGCCCAGCGGGCCTCCACTTCAGAGATGATGTCCTCAAACATCCGGATGACTATGTATGCAAATATATACATATATATATATGTGTGTGTGTGGCTCGGTCTTGCCACATGTTCGTAAATCTTTCGACATGCAAAAAAGACCCGTGGCTGCACCATGTGGGACATACACTTGTGCCACGTTACTGCGTACACCCCTGTCAACTACCAATCGTTGGCTGCAGGTTGCCCCAACGTCAGCGAATTTAGCTATCATGTCCACACGTCTCACACCATCGAAAGATGTGTCTGTATCTTCTGCGCCCACAACCAGCGAGACGTCTTGCAAACGCTTTGCACATGATAAGGGTCTCACACGACAGCGCAAACGCGTCACCCACTGAACTTTGACGTTTGTTCCCGTATTTGTTGATATACCCCGCCCTGGCCTGCTCACGCTCTTGGTCATGGCCGCGTATGTGGTAGCTGTCCAAAGCTCGCACAGGTGGTCCATCAAACCCAACCATCGAAAGTCTTCTTCCAACTGGGTACGCAGGAAACCTCCCAATCACAACCCCTCCCAAGCCATAGAAAAAATCAAGCATGTAGCACTTCATACAGTGAGGCACGCGCAACCACATCTGACCAAGAATTTCGTCGGGGCCTGGTGGGGTATCGTGCGAAAGCCGTGTCTACCGCTTTGCAAACCCATCGAAAATAGGCTGGTCTGATGTCCGTCCGATCAACAACTCGTGTTTTGCACCCTCCCCCACAGTCTGAACTGCGACGAACTCCTGCGAGTCCCTGACCTTTCCTTCCGCCAGCCTGTTGAAGCTTTGTTTCCATGTCGATATATCTGCTGTTTCCCTGCCGCCCGCTGAAGACTGAGGGGCGGGCGGGGGTGCATCACGAGTTTTATTCACTCCGCCAATGCAAGAAAAACGTGATTGTTGACATTACGCTTAACCTTTTGTGCCATTCGGAATCGCCTTGGCAATATGATAAATGGTTTTCCGTCGCTTGATTGCTTTTCTCCGCCGCATCACCGCGTCGAACATGTTTTCTTCGGTATCATATGACTGCGATGTGGGGTCGAAGCACTCGGCTGTAGATCGAGCGGCTGACACACAAGCGCCAAAAGAGTCACAATGCGTCCTCTGCAGCGCAAGAGTGTGCCAATAGTGCGCCTTGACAGTGTACCTTTAAACATCTATGGCCCGCTGCTTCCGGACAAGATCAAGAACACGCGAACTGGACTGCGATTGATAAAGGGATCGTGATATTGACATGTAAAACGACAAACGGAAGGTGATCGGAATGCTTGAGCTTCGTATTGCGAATGTTGAGCTGATCCACAACGCCATCGCCAACCAAATGATAAGGTGTGTCCCGTCAGTGGCTTGGCAAGGCCCCCTCCTACGTGGTCGCCGTCAGCTTGATGGAAAGTGGCATTGGCGTCCAAACCGGCCATGATACGTGGCACTCCCAATCTCTGCAACACTGTATCTCTCGCGATGCCCAAAGCTGTCGTCAGCTCGCTGCGGGTAGCACTCTCAACGATGCTGCCCTGAGAAAAACCCAGCAAGTGCGCGGATGCAACAATAACACAAGCCATAACAAATACCGCCACATACGCCCGATGCTGTGCCCAAACAATATCGACGAATTTATCACGTGGAAGAAAAATGGCACAAACAACTCCATCTGCTGAGCATACGGAGAGACCGTGAGGCATCTGCAGTCCCCACCTCGGAACCTCCTGCAAGGCAAAGAACACAGTGTTCCCGTAGCGGCGACCTGTGCTCTTGAGCACCCTGGGGGCACGAGCGGCAAGTCTCTCCTGCCCATTCCAAGAAACAAACGTCGTAGCCACGTCATCCATAATAGCACACGTGCTTGCATGTACTCCAACACCTCGAGATGCAGCCGACAAAATCCTTCGTAGAAACAGCACTTCCAAAACAAGAGTGCGTTCAGCGAAAGGCAGCTGCGGTCCCTCAGGCGATATAGGAAGATGCCACGTGAGCGTGAGGCCCCTTGAGCCCCCTTGAGCCCCCTTGAGCCTTGAGCCAAAATGGCTACGGGAACGCGCAAGGCTCTGGAATGATTTGGAGGCCGCCCAGATGAAACCAGAGCAGACGGGCGGAGGATCGCAACGCATCGCCGACGCATCGGCGATGCGTTGACGACGTCGGGGTGCAGAAACTCTAGCTCTGGATCGCACAGCCTCGCCCGCGGATCGGCGATACAGCGCGATTATCCGACCCAGTCGCTCGTCTACACGCAAGCGTATGCCTAGGCAAGAATAACCCCCTGGTGTGCGGCTTGCCGATCGTTGCATGCTCCGCGACATTAGCGGGATGCGCGCATGGATCTGGCCTCCCCGCGCCCCCGCCCCATCTGGGCGGCCTGCACACATCTGTCCGTATCCTACGCTTGCCTGGGCCTCGCTCGAGCGGGCCAGCGCGTCCCTCACGCGGCAGAGGCCCACGTACAACTCCACGAGAAGCAGGTCGAGACCGCAAGCCACTTCCTGCCCGGGTACTCTACGAGACGGCTCGGCTGCACGGAGGAGTGACCCTAGGCAAGGGTGGCCTTGAGTGCTCGGTTTCCTGGTTTGGGCCGGGGGGAGCGCGCAAGTCGATGTTATCGAATCGCGATCGACGATCGGGGGACCCAAGTGGGCCAGCACCAAAGGACACTCTGGCAAAGGGTCACCCTGACGTGTCCGCCAGCCACGTCCTCCCCAGACCTGGGGCTGACCCATTGACGCTTACGCTCAACAGAATTATGTGCAGACTATGTGCGTGTGTGTATATACAGATGTGCATATACATCTACAAACACATCTACATATACATATACATCTGCATACATACATACATAAATACATACATGTATACATACATACATACATCCATACAGGCAGACAGACAGACAGATAGACAGACAGACAGACAGACAGACAAACCTACACACGCCACCGTGCCTCTGGCACGAAGTGGAGTGCCCCAACCAAGGCTCATGCAGCCCTGAGAAGTAAAAGGTTTGTAAGGTTTTGAAAAGCCCAGACCCCCAAGTTCCGGGGCGGTCCCGGGCGGTCCCGGGCGCTTTTGTGGTGTGTCGCACGAGCCTCTGGGACGGTCCCCTCGCTCAGGAGGGTCCCAAAACAGGCCAAGAAAGCCCAGGGAGGCCGCCCAGACGGTCTAGGAGGGCACAGAACCGCTCCAAGACGCCTAAGATGGCCTCCAGACAGCCCAAGAGGCTTCGAAGACGGCCCAAGAGGCCTCCCCCAAGAGGGCCCCAAAAGGCAACAATCCATTAGTTCCTGTTGGTGTTTGACTGATGTTGGCCTTCTCGCCTTTTCGGGCTCCCGACGCTCCAAGACGGCCCAAGAGGCCCCCAATATCGCCCCGAGACAACCGAAGAGGCCTCCAAGAGGGCCCCAAGAAGCCCAAGAGGGCCCCAAGACGGCCCCAAGTGGCCTCCCTGACGGCTCACGAGGCCCCCAAGACAGCTCCAAAAGGGGGCCCTGACGGGGGACACGAACGGACATTTCGAGCCCTCGGCCACAAGAGGCCCCCAGAAGGCCCAAGAGGCCCACGCGGCCCCCAAGAGGCCCCAAGAGGCCCCCAGGAAGCCCCAAGAGGACCCCAAGATGCTCCCAAGAGGCCCTCCAGAGGCTCCCAGGAGGCTCCAGAACTGCCCCCTACTGGCCCCCGAGAGCGATCCGAAAAGACACCAAAAAGCATCCTTGAGGACTCTGACGCCCAACCCACGCACTGTGGCGGGATGGACCGAAGGCCATTCGAGACAGTTACATATAAATATATACCAAATACCTACATACACATGCATACACACATGCACACATACACACATACACATACACATACGCACATACACACACATACATACAAACATACAAACATACAACCATACACACATACATACATACATACATACATACATACATACATACATACACATACATGCATGCATGCATGCATGCATGCATGCATGCATGCATGCATGCATGCATGCATGCATGCATGCATGTATGCATACACATATACCTACCTACCTACCTACCTACCTACCTACCTACCTACCTACCTACCTACCTACCTACCTACATACATGCATGCATGCATGCATGCATGCATGCATGCATGCATGCATGCATGCATACATGCGTACATGCATACATGCGTACATGCATACATGCATACATGCATACATGCATACATGCATACATGCATACATGCATACATGCATACATGCATGCATACATGCATATATGCATACATGCATACATGCATACGTGCATGCATGTATACATGCATACATGCATACATGCATACCTACATACCTACACACATACACACACATACAAATGTGTGCGCATATTCATGTGGCACACATGCACGTGAATACCGGCCCAATGTGCAGGGCCGGTCTTTGTCAGACCTAGGGCCTAGCAAAGGCCCCCACGGGGCGACATCGAGAGGTAGAGGGAGAGAGAGAGAGAGAGCAAGAGAACAATAACAAAACAACTCACCTAAAGACGGAAAGAGAAAGAAGATCAAAGAGAGAAAGAGAGAGAGAGAGAAAGGACATGAGGTTGGAGAAGAAGAGGGAGAGAGAGAAAGAGAGCGACAGAGAAAGTGCGAGGAAGAGAAAGGGAGAGATAGAGAGAGAGAGAGACAGGAAGACACACACACACGCAAATATAATTGTATATGAACCATTATTAGCCAGCGTGGGCACCTAACAATGTGATCATAGGAATATGTGTTGTGCAATCGTTTAGAGCGATCTACATGTTGCAATGCAGGTTGTGCAACTTGTGCTGTGCAGTTCCTGTTGTGCAACCTAGGTGTTGCAACCTCTGTTGTACAATCTATGTGGTGCAAACTATATAGGGCAGCATATTTGGAGCAACATGCGTTGTGCAATTCATGTGGAGCAGCCTACGTCGTGCAACCTATGCGGTGCAATATGTATGGTGCAATCTACGCGGCGCCATTTATTGGTGCAAGCTGTTGTGCATGTGCAATATATGTTGTGCTATCTACGTGGTGCAATTCACCGTCCAAAACTTGAGGTTGACAACCCCGCTGCTCGCGCGATCATCCCGCGCACCCACCCGCACCTTGGTTTGCAAAACCAATGCGGTGGGATTGAAATAACTGCTTGGCGCTGGCTGGTGCATCGCTGCGGCCGCGATACCGCGAGCAGGCTCGCGCGCGGAGCTGCCAGCCAGTTTAGCGCGACCGACGCAACCTCGGTGGCGCTGATCGTTGGGGACTTCCCAGCTCGTCTCGCAGGCCGCGCTGGCGCGCGAACACTTCAATGCGAGTCGGTGATTTTGGCGGGCGCGGTATCATGACGACGTCGTCAACGGCACGCACGATAATGTTAGTAGCGATGATGGTGGCGATGGTGACGATGACGACGGGAAGATCCATGACGGCGCCGATGCTGGTCACGCCAAAGACGGTGATGATGATGATAATGATGATGTCGCCACGTGTCGGTGATGGGGGTTGTTGGAGAATGTCGACACGCGCGCGTGGCCGACGCCGGCGAATAGCCCGCATGGTATCATTTGACAAGGATCCCCCCCCCCAGAGAGCGCGCAAAGGCTTTCGAATGACTGCGATACGCGCGCGCGAGAGGCCCACTGGGTCGCACTTCATGGAAATTGTAACACGACCGATTGTTGTCATAAGGAGTTGCAAGAGCGCACGCGCTGATTGCTTGACAGGTTATGTTGCTAAACCATCGGTTGTATATACGTTTCGGGAAACAAGGGGGGGCTGCTGAAAATGTGAATTGTTTGATACGCGGGCGCGCGCATATAGTAATATTTGAAACAGATGAAGGGGGGGCGGTGATGGCGCCCCCTGGGGTGGTGCGAAATCAGATTTGCATTTAACGACTAGGTATAGTCATATGCAAATTGAACTATCCCCGGGGTCGCCCGAATTCCAGGGGCGGGGGGGGAGAGGGAGTAGAGGAGGAGGTGGGTGGACGATCCGAATGTTTTTGTAGAAAAAACTACGTTGCGCAATCTAAGTGGTGCACTCTACGTCGTGCAATATATGCGGCGCAGTCTACGTCGCGAAATGCAAATTAATCCCACCAGCCCTCTGGGCTAAGGTGGTCTAGCGGGTTCTTCCTTTCTGCCTCCAAAAGCCTTCACCCCTTCGGGGAGGGGCAGCCTCCCCCTCAGATGGCTCCAAGAGGGCCTCCGATGCTCCAGGATAGCCTCCGAGGCGGTTCAAGATAGCCGAGGGTAGCGGTAGATAGCTCCCGACACAAACTCTGTCAAACACATAAAGAAATCTCCAGTTTCTGCCTCCTCGCCCTTTCGCTTCCGATGCGGCTCTGGCGCCTCAAATCTGTTACAAAACTACCAAAAAGAGCCCCGAAACGGGCCCAAGAGGCCTCCAAAACGGCCCCAGGAACGCCAAACATCGGCCCAAGAGCGCCCTAAGAGCCCCGAGGGGGATGCGGAGGCGAGGGGGGGCCCAGGGCCCCGAAGGCCCTGAAGCACCAAAATGGCCACGGGAGGCCCTCCAGGGCTGCCACGGGACCCCAGAGAGGGCTCCAAGAGGGCTCAAGGAAGGAGGGCCCCAACGCCCCTTCACCCAACGAAGCTCCAAGAGGAGCCCAAGACCCCTCAAAGGAGTCCCAAGAGGGCTCAAGAAACAATTTTGATGGCTTTGTCATCGTCCTCGTTGTCCTCCCTCCCCTCCTCGCCCTCGCCCTTGCCCCCGTCGTCTTCCTGGCCGTTGCCTCCCTCTTCCTCTTCGTCGCGGTCGTCGCCGTCGAGCCCCCCTCCTCCCCTCGCCCCCGCGCGAACCGTAGGGGCGGTCCGAAGAGGCCCCCCAGGGCCGCCCCCTTGTTCCTAGAGGTCTCCCGGTTCACCCCTGCCCGCCCCGTTCAGCCACGCGTCTCTTCGCCCCTTTCCCCGTCAGCCCCCGCGGGCAGGGTTTCTGTGTGGGCCGGCGGGGCTACGCGGAGCGCGGATAACTTTGTGTTTGGAGTTGACAACTCCACTGCTCGCGCAATCGCCCCGCCCACCCACCCGCAATGTGGTTTGCAAAACCCATGCGCCCGCGACTGCGGCGACTGCGCCTTTGGCGCTGACTGGGGCGTCGCCGCGTCCGCGCTAATGCGCGCGAGTTCGCACGCAAAACGGCCAGATGAGGCGGCGCCACCGACGCGACCGCGGCGGCGCTGATCGCTGGGGGTTTCCCAGCGCGTCTCGCCGGCAGCGCTGACGCGCGGGCACTTCAGCGCGAACTGGTGATTCGGACAGACACGGCATCATTGCGACGTCGAAAAGAACAGACACGATGATGATAGCAGCGATGGAGGCGACGACGATGACGACGACGACGGCAAGGCCACAGACGGCGCCGACGCTGGCCGCGCCGATGACGACGATGGTGCCCGCGCGTCCTGAATAAAGGCTTTGGATGGATTTCGGCATGCGCGCGTGGCCGATGCGCGCGAGTGGCC